TCTCCGTTGGGGGACTCTGTAGATTACTTTTATCAGAAACACTTGGACTTCTGCATTTAGGGATGAGATTTAGTCTGATAATGACAGGACCGTTTTTATAACTCCTCTGAATGGAGGGGTTCGGGTTGCAAACTGTAACTTGTACCATTTGCATAAAACCTTGTCCATCCATCTGAAAAACGGCGAGCATGTTTTAGCCACTCTACGTAACGTTCGTAGGGTGAACGTGCGTTAAGTGATGTGTCACGTTTTGTACGGCTGTCAGCAGTCCGCCCCTCAACCGCCGTCATGCGTCGCGGGAATGTTTTCTGTGTGATCCAGGGCGAGGCTTGTGCTGAGGCAAAGCGTGTGGCAGCTGATGACGCGGTGGGGCTGCGTGTTTGACATCGCTGTGCGAACGTTGAAAGGCGGAAGGCGTGACTTCATTTACGCTGCGCGGTTGAAGTGAAGGCTGCTAGCCCCGCGGGAGCACACGTTTTTCTCTGGAGGGACGCGCGCCGCTCTCGCTGGAGGGGCGCGCGCTGGAGGGAGGCGGGACTCATTACCGGGTTCTTTCAGCTGCTTCACGTTTAAGCTGCGGTGAGCTGCCGAACGCTGAGACGCGGTGGGTGACGGCTGCCCGCGTTTGATTCGTTGAGACAGGTGTCGCTTCTTGTGAGAGAGAAGGACCTCCACCCGAACCAGCCTGCGGACCACATTTATACCGATGTGAGCTGGTTAGCGCCGGGCAGCTGTGTGTGTGCGCCAGCATCAACGCAGCGCCGTTGGATGGAGGCTGTTTCATCCTTGTGATCGACTCGTCATGTCTAGAGCGGCGGTGAGTTTAAAAACCTTATTTAAGGACACCGGCTCATGTGTGGAGGCTGTTCCATCCCACGAGTGCGAGTTGACACCGCTTGAGTGAGGATCGTGCAGTTCTAGTTGATAACGAGTTATTTTCGCTTACCGTTGTGCCGTGATCGACTCGTCATGTCTAGAGCAACGGTGAGTTTAAAAACCTTTAATTAAGGACACCGGCTCATGTGTGGAGGCTGTTCTGTGATCGACTCGTCATGTCTTAGAGCGACGGTGAGTTTAAAAACCTTATTTAAGGACACCGGCTCGTGTGTGGGGGCTGTTTCATCCCACGAGTGCGAGTTGACATCGCTTGAGTGAAAATCGTGCAGCTCGGGATTATAACGAGTTATTTTCACTTACCATCGTGCCCTGTAAGCGACTAGTAATGTCTAGGTGCGGCGGTGAGTTTAAAAAACCTTATTAAGGACACCGGCTCTTTATGTGTGCGGCCGCTGTGAGCTCATCCGAGCTTACAGACTGGCTAAAAAACAGACACTTTGATCATTAATGATGATTTATTTCAACTTTCGTGTCACTTTTACACACACCCTCCGGAGACCGTCATTTTGAGAAACTTCTCTCTCATGAGCTCTGCGATTGTTTGCCCAGAGCGCTGTCTTGCAGGCGAACTCTGGGGAAACGCTGAGCTGCAGGTTGCCGGAGTGAAGAGGGCTGGATTCTGACGGGCGGTGCTGGTGGTGGAACTCACCGAGATCCGCGGCCGTGGAAAAGTCGAAGCTTGCTCGCGACGGTCCCTCCAGCGGGCCGGGATGAGCCGCGCGGCTTGATGAGGTGGCGCACAGCCTCTGGCACCTCCTCCGACTGTTTCAATTCGCCAGCATGGTTTGAAGCTGCTCTGAACAGCGCGTCCGCGATGGGCTTCATCAGGTCTTGTGCAGTTTCTCCGGCAGCGAGGGGAGTAACGAAGCAAGGTGGATCATTGGATCATCGTCATCCGCGCTGCAGTCCTCGACAGGCAAACCGTAGGAGAGGCACATATGTTGAGCTGGCGTCAGCTGCCTTACAGAAGGAGTTCTTTGTCTCCAAGGCAGGTCTGCGGCCTTCAGTCCCTTGGACATGCTATATGCTAGCAGCGCACGTTGTTGCTAACTGCGGCTGCCTGAAAAACACATCGGTGGGCTCGATTGGAGAGCGTGGTCGCCATCTTGTTCGTGTTCCTCCGGAGGGACGGGACGCTGCTCCGACCTGGGCAGCTTCGCTCCGAAAGCTTCCGCGAGGCTTGGCTCCAGGGGGGTTACCGAGGAATAGCCCCGCTCGGTGAATCCCTCAACTCTGGTGATGGGAGCGGACTGGGGACCGACTCCTCCAATCTACCAGGAAAGAACCGTCTGTGGCCTCGCCCGTCGAACGTCCTGTTGGAACGCGAGGCCATATGGATCAAGACGGTGAGCCACAGTGGAGCCCAGTGAAAAACAACCTTCCCGCCGATCATCCGAACTGGCGGGAAAAGGCGTGGGACGTAGAAAAAAGGGGTCCCTTCATGTCAGCCTCCTCCTGGGTTCCGCCGGGCAAACGTGAGGGCGCTGTCGGCCGGGAGCGGTGTGATCGCCGATGCGAAACGAGGTGGGATGGGGTGAGCATTCACTCAGCCCCCCTCCACCTACACTACGCTCCCCAGGAGGGAATGAGCAGCGGGGGCTGCAGCTGAGCACGCCTCGCCCCGAGGGTCGGCGATAAGAGGAAAAAATACAAGATGGCGTTGTCCAGCGTGTAGTGACCTGTTACTGGGAAATGTTCCCCGACGCTTACCTTGGAATAAGACTGCTCGTCATCTTCTCCTCGGGGAGGAGAACTCACCGGACGACCGGAGGTCGACTGCCGGGCCAAGCATCCTTCACAAAGGTTGGTCATTTACACAATTTATCCTCTTTGTTCTTCTGACAGTGCTATATTAGCTCGCTGAAGAAAAAATGGGAGCCGATTTCCCGCTCTTAACGTAATTTATACGGACCGGGTGGGGCCCACACAGCAGGTGGGCGTGGACTAAATTTTTTTTCAGTGCTTATGCTCTGCATAACGGGATAAACCCATCAGCGACAGCCTTAAAGGGCGAAGCCTATATGACATAGAACTGGTTGATCCACACTGAGACGGTGCTATTTAAGAGACTGAGCTGAATACAGCACCTCAGACTGAAGAAGTCTCTCGGACGAGAGATGAAACGTTTCTACATTTTTTGTTGTTTTGCTTTGTTTTGGTTTTTTTTGAATGTCCAGAGGACCAGATTGAACTTTTTTAGATTTTTCTACCTGGATTATTGAGCATGCATCAGGATGTTAATAGCTATGTTGTGTTGTTGGGTTTTTTTGTTCTGTTTTTTTGTTCTAGAATGCGCCGCTCAAGGTGGCTGCATGTTGGAGCAGCTCTGTTATTTTCATTCTGAGATTTTGCTTTTGGAAACTTTAATTCCTGTTTTTCTGGATGTAAATCACATTTTTTTTTTGGATGATCGTTTCCTCTGGTATCAGATGCTGTGCAGCTGGAAGGATTTTTACTGAAACTTTTTTAGTTTTGGTTTTTGCACATTTCTTTGACAGTTAAACATTTTGAGCCCTGATTGAAAATGTTTGTGCAGATTAAATTTACAGCTCTCACTTTGTGTTGTTGTGATGATGATGATGATGATGGTGCTCCTGCTGACTTCAGATGATGTCATTAATAAACAGTATAAATAGTAGTAAAAGTACTTTATTAAAGCTTGTTTTACATTTTACATATTTTATAATAAATTGTTTGGAAATTTATTTTTGCACAATTAACACTTATTTTGTCATCTGTTATGATTTTAACTAGAAACAGTTTAATTTAAATTAACATTTTAATCAATTAATTACAATTTTACAATAGTTGTCAGGCTACAATCAACTCAGTTATCAGGTAATTGGTTGCCATAAAAAAACGACAAATACAACAATTATATTCAGTCTCTCTTGTAAATGAGTCCTCGTGGCTCAATGGGACAAACCTGTTTAAATAAAGGTTGAATTAATTTCTTCTATAGAAATCAATAATTCATCCAGATGTTCTAAGGTAAGCTGGAGCAGATCTGATCCTGCATGGAGGACAAGGTGGAGCATTCTCATGCGGAGAACATCAGAAATAACTTTATAACAGGTGTTACTCTGATCTTTTTTTTAACATTATAAAACACTGACATGGCTATATTGATCATTGTATTGCATATACATTTTTTTTCTAACAAATATGTTTGCAGTCTCGTTTCCTTCTATAATGATAAATGTATCAGCCGCTTCTAAAAACGCTTTGATAAAATGCATAGTCTGTGAAATAATCAGTTCGTTACTGTTCAATAATTACTGAAAGACGTCAGGTAAAGTAAGAAAAGTCGATTTTTGTGTTATGTTGCGCCAGCAGCCTCAGACTGACTGACAGGATGAGCTGTTTGGAACTATTGAGAGCTGCATGAACCACGTGACCGCGTATGGGAGAGTTCAAAGAGCGTCGCAACTCTCTCTTTATAGGGCTCTGGTCCTACAGACCGGGGGAACAAGAGAGGCCTGCCGAGTCTGGGTGGACGGATCTGACGCATCTGCAGCCAGTTTCTTAGGATCCACTGTGGGATGGACCTTTACAAGAGATCCTTCCTGTCTACAGCCATCAGTATCTATAACATCTCTTAATGAAGATAATGAGTTACAACAACAAAATAATTTCCCTTTGGGATTAATAAAGTATTTTTGAATTGAATTGAATATATATAGATTTCTTATTAGTATCTATTAGTATTATCTATAGTATATATTATTATTAGATTTATTAATACTTTGTAGATCCATTTCGTGTTGCTGTGTTCATTCGTACTCATCTGCTCACACAGACTCATGTTCGTGCTGCTGTTGTTGTTTCTGTGCTACTAGTGCTTAGTGTGTTTTTAGTTAACGTTTTTATTAGTTCATATCTTGGATCTTATTACTGTTGTTCTTTTACATTTTAATACTTTGTTGGATGTAACTGGGACCCTGTGTACACAATGTCATTCCACCACATACACATGTGGTGGAATGACAAATCAAGAATCTTGAATCTTGAATAGCCAGCGTACACTGAGTAGCATCCATGTTGGCATCAGGTCAGTGTTGTTAGGTGAGGAGTGTGTGACGGGTGAATGGAGTGCAGCTTACTGGATGCCTCAGGCAGCAGAGTTCATACAGGACACAACCCAGACCCCAGATATCCCTGCAGAGAGGAAACACACACTCAAACAGAACAAACACCTCATTTCATCAAATGAAAAGTTACAAATGAATCGTTTCTATTTGTAATTATTTCTATCCTCACATATTTTGTTTGTTTGTATTTTTTGTCTTTCCTCCTAGTGAGGGACTTGATCGCCTCCATTTTGGACCTGTGTAATAATAATAATGTGTTATGTATTGTCATTATCTCACATACAATGGCAAAATTGGATCTCTGCATTTAACCCATCCACCACCAGGTGGTGCAGCACCCAGGGAGCATTTTTGGGGATAGGGTGTGCTGCTCAGAGACACCATGAAATGTGCAATGACTGGGGATTGAACCTGGGACTTTCAGGTCCAGGGTCGGCTGCCCTGCCTCTACACCATCTCAGCCCCCTGGTCTGTTCTAGTTCCTCCTTCCTGTCCTCTCAACCAGCCGGTCGAAGCAGACGACCTCTTGTCCTGAGCCTGGTTCTGCTGGAGGTTTCTTCCTCATGAGGGAGTTTTTCTTTCCACTGTCGCCTTTGTGCTTGTTCAGGATGAGAGACTGTGATGAAATGAAGACTCAACACAATCTGCTGGCTGCCCTACGCTGGATAAATAATGTTACTACTGTAATGACATTTTATGTACATGAATGTTTCTGTTCAGTCCCTGAGATTATTTCTGCTGTGACTTGGTGCTATAGAAATAAACTGAATTGAATAGAACTGTATCTAATTACATCAACTTTAGAGACATGCACCTGATTTTTAATAACATTATCCACAAGAAGGTCCTTCTCCCAGCACTGATGGTCCAACAAGTTCATCTTAAACATCACATTCATTTTTTTATTATTCAGACTTTAGTCTCACTGAGTCACGAGAACTCATTTTCAAGAGGGACCTGTTTTAGATTCATAAAATCATACAAATGTTATGAAACAACAATGTTTCTTGTTCGAACAGGATGCTGAAATAGATTATCTGTATTTTTTGATCTATAATTATAAACATGATTAAAAAAAACTAAGTCAAAAGCAATAAAATTGCTCAGCAGAGCAAATCTTGACAAAACGTTTTCGTATTTGCTCCACTGGCTCAGAAGTATGTGGGTGAGTGTTTGTGTCTCATACTGTGAGGACCTAATAAAGTTTTACTCTTTGAACAAGTAGATGTTTTATAAAGCTGGGAGTAAACTGTTGAAGAGTTTAAAGATTCAGAGTTACTGGTCAGATTTCCAGTTTTCAAGGAAACTTCTGCTATTAAATGTCTTAAACATACAAATAAGAAACAATATGTCTGTGTGAGCGTGGGAAGGAGGAAACAGCTGATCTCAGCTGCACCAAATAAGACTTCAGAGCAGATTAATGAGTAATGATGAGTAATGATTCAAAAGTAGACGGAGACAAAGGAGAAACTTCAGGTGAAGACATTTCCATAAAGTATTATTACTTGATACTTGTAGAGCGACTGTCCAATCATATATTGTAACTGAAGCCAGCTGGTGCATGAGCCAAAGCAACATTTGAAGTTTCTGAATCTGCTTCGAGCTTCACTGACTTCAGCTGCAGTCCACAGGTTCCACACACCAGGACACTTTGCACTGACATGGGTCAAAAAAGAAACACCTCCAAACTAAAAGCTGTACAGATAGAAAACATCTTTTGCAAACATTTGAGACAGAGTAAACCTTCCATTTGTTGTCAGCGAAGGAAATTATTAATTCACCTCTTTTGGTGGTGGTCATAAAAATGTTTTGATGAATGCAGGAAACTTTTTAGAGCATAAAACTGCCAACATTTCACGAGTTTATTAGTTTAAAAGGCTTCAAATAAAAAAATAAAAAAAACGTTTAAAAGAGTTCAGGCATATTTTGGCTGCTTTCTCAAGCCAAGTTTCTCTTACAGACTTGGATAAAAATCATCACTTTAGTGACATTTTACTGTACATGCTCTGAATTTATCTTTTATTTATCAGTCAGCAGTTTTGACTGTTTTTCACTTGTTTTCAAAAATCTTGTTTTTCAGAACTGCCCTCTGTAAAAAACATGTCTGGGTCACCAAACTGAAGGAAGAAATGCAGCTTTAAACAATCTTTGGCCTTCTGTACGATTTTGAGTCTTCAGCTGGACCAAATTTATAGATTTTAACAAATAACTAAAAAGGTGCATAATGCTAGAAACATCATTTAATTATGAAGTAGAAACGTAGAAACTAAACACATGTAATGTCTCAGCTTGTGAAAGCAAAAGTCAAAGAGTTGCAATAAAAAATGTAAAAACAAAGTTGTTTTATGTGATTTGTTCCAGTTACTGAACACTGTACTTTACAACAAATATATAAACAGTCTGCAAGCTAACATAGCTAGCCTTGTAAAAAACATGTTTTACAGCGGTGGCCTCTTCAGATGTTCATCAAATCTAAGGTCACAACTAATAAATATGTAGTCTGTGACTCCACCAGAATCTGGAGACTATTCTGATGCTGCCGCACAAGAAGACCAGAACAGAAAAGAGGAAGCTGCACTGACAGATGAACACCAGGGAAGCACACAAACGTACGTCTTGTTGTTGTAGGGTCGACTCTCACAGATCTCTGGTGAGAGGTAGAACGGTGTCCCCACACACGTCCTGACCAGCTCCATGGTGCTGCACAGTGTGAAACATCAACACAATCAGGCTGCAACACGGACATAAAATAATGACCTCAACTGCGCTGAGTCGTGTCGTATTTCATACACAGCAGTTGTGCTATGATAAAGCATTAGATGCTAAGCAGGTACAAGCTTTAACTTGAAAAGCATGAATATATTTTGTTGACTTAAATCCTTAACTGAGGAGCTAACTAGCATTTAAATATAAACCGACGTTTCATCTGCAATGCCACAAATCAAAATGTGACAAATCAAAACAAAATCTTTTCTCTCAGTTTTGCATTTCTCTATAAAACCTGCTAAAATCCACTCTGGACCAATTCAGTTGGTTCATGTCAGGTTCCACCAAAGCTCAATATGAAGAAGTGTGGCTCAAAAGTTTTGCACATTATCACCCTGGAGTTGAATCTTTTCACAACTTATTCCTTTCCGTATAAATTACAAACGGACTGGAAAGATGTGTTCCCCACTCATAGATCGATGCAACTTTACATGAATAAATAAAATATTCCCAGATTTATTTTTCTCCTGTGAGCTAAATATGTTTATTTATTTATTTATTTATTTAGTCAATTTTTTATTTCATCCATCCATTATCTTTTACCCGCTTCTTCCATTTTGGGTCACGGGGGTCGCCAGTGCCCATGTCCAGCAATCACTGTGTGAGAGGCAGGGGACACCCTGGACAGGTCTCCAGTCCATCACAGGGACACAAAGAGACAAACGAGACAAACAACCATTCACTCTCTCTCTCACACACCTATGGACAATTTAGAGTTACCAATCAGTCAAACATGTTTTTGGTCTGTGGGAGGAAACTGGAGTACCCGGAGAAAACCCACGGAGCACGGAGAGAACATGCAAACTCCACCCAGAAAGGTCCCCAGCTGGGGTTTGATCCAGCGACCTTTTCGCTGAGAGGCTGCAACTCTACCAACTGCGCTACCATGCCGCCTTGATGTTTTACCCGACATGTGTAGAGATTAAAGGAAACTTCATGCAGCTTGTTGCAGCCAAACAGAATCAGCTGACCTGTTTCTACAACCGTGTGGTCAAACACCCAGCTCAACACAGAGTGGAATGATAATCAGTTGTATGGAGGTCTTATGGGTGACTCTGTGACAGACAGCTGCACCATGTGTGTGTGTGTGTGTGTGTGTGTGTGTGTGTGCGTGTGTGTGTGTGTGTGTGTGTGTGTGTGTGTGTGTGTGTGACGATGATGATATTGACTTACTTATTCAACATTCTTGCAATTCCAAAGTCTCCCAACTTCACTTTCATCCCTCCGTTGGTTAGGAAGATATTCTAGAGCAAAGAAAGAGCAGGAATTAAAGTGTGTGTGTGTGTGTGTCTTTGTATTTATTACCTTGTAAGGCCCATTTTTCCAACTTACACTACATTGTGAGGACCAACTAATCATCCTAGGTATCCTGGAATATCTTGAAAAAAGATCTGAAGCTCTTGACCTTGACCTCTCTAAGTGGCTTCAATCATCTGCTAAGTTCAAGGCAAGAACCAATGCTGACATGTTCCTGTTTTTAATATTTTAAGTGGCTTTACAATCTAGCTGTTGTTGTGTCGTATTTTAATATCATTGCCTACTGTTGTCATCATTCTTTATTAAAAACAGGTCCCTCTTGCAAACGAGTCGAGGCTCAATGAGACTAACCTGTAGAAATAAAGGTTGAATGAAAGGTTTAGGGTTTAGACCTCTAAAGACCCCTAAAGTCTCCCAACCCCATCTCAGACCGAGATGGGGTTGAGGTAAGGGAGCCGACCTGGGCCCAGAAAGTTGTGTTTCGACTCCCAGCCATTCCCACATGTGGTGGTGTCTCTGAGCAAAACCCCTAATCTCTAATTGCTCCCCGGGTTCTCAGTAGCTGCCCACTGCTCCACCTGGGTGTACCCCAGGTGTGATGGGATAAATGCAGAGAACTAATTTTGTCATTGTATGAGAACATACAATGATGACAACACATAGCACTTACTTAGGGTTAGATATGTTCTGGTAATGTTTAAGTATGTTCTGGTAATGGTTAGGTATGTTCTGGTAATGTTTAAGTATGTTCTGGTAATGGTTAGGTATGTTCTGGTAATAGGTATGTTCTGGTAATGGTTAGGTATGTTCTGGTAATAGGTATGTTCTGGTAATAGGTATGTTCTGGTAATAGGTATGTTCTGGTAATAGGTATGTTCTGGTAATGGTTAGGTATGTTCTGGTAATGTTTAAGTATGTTCTGGTAATGGTTAGGTATGTTCTTGTAATAGGTATGTTCTGGTAATAGGTACGTTCTGTTAATGGTTATGTATGTTCTGGTAATGTTTAAGTATGTTTTTTTAATGGTTAGGTATGTTCTGGTAATGGTTAGGTTTAGGGTAAATGCTCCAGTATACTGCTGCGTACGTCCGTTCACGCGTACGTACGTGTGTACTGTACGTAGAGGGTTCAGTCATTAAACTCCAGCGTATACCCCGAGCAGCTGCAGAGCAGCTTCACAGACAAGGGGCGTTTACTTTCGGGACAAATTGAGGTCGCCGATTGGTCATTTGCTGACACGCCTACTGGATTGATTGACAGGTCGGAAAAAAGAAAAATAAGCGAGCGCTGGCAGCCTCAGCCACAGTGGTGTTCTGTGTTTATATGTTGTTAATAAAACAATCTAATAAATAAATAAAAACAGAGAGCGCTGGCCCTGCAGCCCACACATCAGACCAGCCCACCAGGAAATCTCCAGACCCTCCCGCAGCCACGCTGGACCTAATGGTAATTCGCACGTGACAAATTCCTTCATTTCTCACCATTTCAGTCATGGCATCAACGGAGGAGGAAGAGATCACTGCCTCTTGGCAAAAAAACAAAAGAAAAGGCCAGATCAGAGATGAAGAAGGGAAATTTAATACATTGGTGTCGCATACAAAACAGTTCGTCGCTGGGCAATTTATTGTGCGACACCGCGTACGCGTATGCGGTTGTAAAAATTGGAGCTTTGCACGGAGGGTACGCTGGGGGGTACGCACGTACCTCTGCGTATGTACCTCTGCGTATGGATGTACGCGGCAGTATACTGGGGGCTTAAGGGTCAGGGTTAGGCTATAGAAATGAATGAAAAATAAATGGAAGTTCCTGTAAAGATAGAAAGACAAACTAAATAGCAACAAAGTCCATACTGTCACGAACCAAAGTTTTGGAGTCAATATAAGCCAGACACAGGAGTGCAAAAATTAACAGTTTATATTAATAAGGCTGCTGGTAGCTGCAGAGGGAGGCCTTTATTGCTATGGAAAGTGGGGCAATGACAGTTTGTGGTCCAAAGGGCAATCCAAAAGCGTGATCCTTGAGTCGAGGTCATGGACTGAAGAGGAGGTCGTTACCGTGATCAGAGAGGCAGAACAGAACCAGATGAGGGGCAGGCAAAAAACGGGAAATCCAGAAGGCAGGCGTGAGGTCAATAATCCAGAGAACAAGGCTTGAGGTCTAGGCATGAAACTATGAAGGCTTGAAAATCAGGGACCATGGAAGGTGTAATAAGCTTGCACTGGTGGAGAGGGAAAATGGATTTTATGAAGGGTGCAGAGCAGATGAACCAGATGAGCTGAACAGGTGAGTGGAATCAGGGCTGATTGCTGTGATAAACTGAGGGGGTGTGGTGAAGTGAGCAGGCAGAGGTGCAGGTTGACAGGAGATGAGAATAAACATGAACAGAAACTATGACGAGAAAACATAGCATGTCATGAAAAGGCAAGGAAGTGAGCAGATGGGGGCCAGCGGGGGCCGCTGATCATGACACATGCTCAATAATCCAGGTATACAATCCAACATTTTTCAGTCAGGTCATCTGGACAGTTTCTTTTTTTGTGCTGAAACGTTTTGCCTTCGATCCGGAAGGCTTCATCAGTCAAGGAAACACACAACAAAACTGATTATTCCTCCAACAGCTTACTCCAAATTGGAACAAACCAGTTCTGCTTGTGATAAGATGGTCTCTTTAATCAATCCGCAGAGTTTAGATTAGAAGGGCGCCCCAGAAAACAAAGATAAATGTTGGACCAGTGGCTGAACTGGGAGCTGGCTCAGGTACCTGAGACTTGATGTCTCTGTGCAGAACCTTCTGGTCATGGATGTGTTTGAGGCCCAGGCAGATCTGAACAAACCAGTCCACAATCTGTGAAACACAAAGCTCACATTATTTGACTGCACATATAAAATAGTAAAACAATGTTAGAAATTTAAAACTAATATGTGTGAGTCTAATTTTATTACCAATAATTTTGCTGTAAATGACTTAAACTCCATAATTTATCTACATAAGATGGTCTTAGTGCGCTGGAATGAAAGGCTGCAAGTGAGATGTATTTCTTGTACACCTTTCTTTTAAATAAACTCAGCTTTACCTTTAGAGATCACTTCAGATTAAACTGACAAATCAAAACCTTTTGGGATTTTTTTCCAACATTTTAATTCACACGCGTGTTTCGTCCAACTCCACTAAAACTTCACTTTTTGTGTTTTGGTTTTGGGGGCCAGGGAAAAGTTCCTCATTCTAAAGGGTTAAAAACCATCGTTTTACAATAATGTTTGTGGATACCTGGTCCTCTGAGAAGGGAACGCCTCTCTGCATGTTGATCTTCTTCAGCAGATCTCCTCCATCACAGAACTCCATCACTATAAACAAGCTGCCCTTCTCTGAACAGAAACACAATGAAACTGACAGAAACTCGTGGGGCAGCTTCCAGACGTGGACGTAAGTTCAGACTCTCACCTTGAAACGATGTGATGAAAGAAACAATGTTTGGGTGATTCATCCTTGACAGCAGCGTCACCTCTTTCCAAGAGGCTTCCTTTTCTTTCACTGACATCTGAGTGACAAACACACTCCTGCATTAACTGGGTCACGACAACAATAAACTCTTTTCTGCAA